ACTCTTTTTGCCACAGTTAAGTGATCTCATTTCCAGATTGGCTTTGCTTGTCAGAATGTCGCAAAAGATAATCATACAACTCTGGGACACTGCAGCTATCATAAGTATGAATCAGTTGTGAAGCATCTGAATTTTGATCACATGACCATGGAGGTGTAATAGCTGTAATAGTTATAACTGTGAAAAAATGATCATAAATCACTGCTTTTCAGTTGTTATAACTTTGAACAGTCACTAAACAAACTGCTGCAGGTAGAGGACTACCTATAGTGACATATTTGCATGATCTCATCATAAAAAAAAAAAAATTCTGCAAAAGTTTTTCCTGTATCAGTCATCAAACTCAGCAGTGATTCCTCAATCATTTCAAATGTGGTGAAAAAAAATCAAGTGAAGTTCCTAAATAAGTGTGAAGTAGTCCCAAATGCACTTGGGAAATGTGGCATCTGTGTTAGTAATTAAATTCTAATTCTCAGTAGATTACATATTTAATAATATGATACATGAAGAACATAGAATGAATGAAGCTATTTTCTAATGGACAAAAGCTAAATCAAGAGCCCTAATTAAATACAGAAACTTCTGAAAAACTAATTTCCTTGAGTAAACTATAGCATTATTTTTAGATACCATGTTACATCTTAAAATGCAGATTATGGCTTTTTGTGCAACTTTTTAATATTGGGCAAACATTATATTAGTAGGGGGTTTTATATATATATATATATCTAACACAAATTGTTAAGATCAGCTGCAAATAAATAGAAATAAGAATTGTTTTAGTTGTTATATCAGTTGCCTTTTTTGTCTGCAAAAACACTCTTTTCTATCGTAATTATTTTTGCATCTCATTTTCCTCTGATCTTACTTCCTTACTGGAAGTAATTTTAAGATATTTGGGCCCAAAGCAGCCTAAAACAAACAAATGCACAAAGCTCTGATCACAATAGAAAATCAGTGTTTCATTAACCTGAGGAGTTGGCTACATTTTGTAATAATATTTTTTTAAAATTTCAGATACAGGTAGTCCTCAACTTATGAACATTTGTTTAGCAACTATTTCATTTTATGATGTGCTGAAAAATGACTCTTTCTCATGGTTACAACTGTAATGTGATAAAAAAAAATCAGGTACTTAGTAACTGACATGTATTTACAATGGTTGCAGCATCCAAAGTCACATGATCATCATATACAACATTTCCACAGAACTTTTCAAAAGTCAATGGGGAAAGCTTGATAGTCTTAATAATTGTGTAATTCACTTCAAAAACTCATAATTTTGGGTGTCCACATCATTTATCAGAAGTTCTCACCCCAAATGTGAATCAGCAAGTATCTGTACCTCAAGACCCTTTATTAATGACCTAATATGTCATTCTCTTGCATATCTCCATAACACCTCCCTTTAAGTAGAATCATAAGAAATTTTAAAATTTAAATTTAAAATTTTTATTTTAGTTAAAAATCTGTCTTCCTCTCTAACTACTATCACTCCAAGCTACTACATATACAGTATTTTATTTCCTAAAACTGCATGCAGTCACCAAAAGTTTCTCCATATCATTGGAATTATTTGTTCCTTCAGTGGATGATAAATTCATCAAGCATACATGGAGTGATATTTAATTTATTTAAAATACTATATTTAATTTATGGTTTTTCTGGTCCTCATCTACTATGCGTGTATAGCCTCATGATGCAGATCAAAGAGTCAATGGCATCCGCAATCTTCTTCTTGACATTTCACTTTCTTTTAACCTTTTGGCTTTTCATCATTTTGCTTCATCTTTTATTTCCCATTCAAATCATTAATTGGTTCATTTACTTTGCATTTTTTTAAAAAAAAATCATTGCTGAATGATAAGGAGCTTTTTTCCCTTTTTTCCCACCAATCTACTGGTCTTGCTGCCAAAGCTTGTTCTTGGATTTGTATGGGAGCACTTAGAAATGACCCAACAATTTTTGAATCGCCAAGGACCCACCTGAAAAGGGACTCTTGAAGATTCCTAAGACTCTGGATGTCAGGATTCTGGCAGCTACCGCAATTAAATCATGAGTCTCAAGCCAAACTTCTAAAACTTCAAAAGGATTTATTGGAAATTAAAATGTCCAGCACTACCTGAGTGTAGCCGACTCTGAAACACATTGTCACCCTGGTTTTCCCCCACCCCCTGGGTGAATCATAATTTATATTCTCCAATGGGACACATCCATAGCCAAGAGTCATCAATCATGTTCTCTAATTAGAATTTTGCACGGAAGAAACTTCAGTCACCTAGTTACTATCTTTGAAAACTATTTATGGAATAAATGCAACTCTAAAAAGACCATAGAAATATTTTATGAGTTGACACTGGAAGCAGTCAGAAAGTCACTGAGCCATCTTCCTTGCAGCAGTTTCATTTTCTAACCAAGACTGCATTTTATCCTTCACTTTTTGGATTTATTGTTTTACTCTGCCTTTTTGTCTTTAAAAGTTGACTGTTTTTTTTCTTTTACTTTTCCATTGATTGAACACTGTACAACACATGTTACTTTGTGAGGGTGAAGAAATAGAATTTATTTGTATTAATGCTTGTTTCAAACACATTTTCTTTTTTTATTCATTTTTTATGTAAAAGTTTTTATTTTTGAGACAAACATATACAAACAAAATATAAAAACATAAAACCATTTTCCATTTTATATACATTTTCAAATGTTTTCCCCCACTCTATCCCAAGGTATTTATTTTATTTTCATGGTTATGTTCATGATATGCACTGAAGATGGTGTTTGATTTCATTGTACGAAGTGCAATGACAATAAAGTAAAGTGTTTGCATTCTCTCAGAGCAACTCAGAGCACAAGAAAATATAAATGCAGTTGTACATAAAACTATCTGTAGATCAGCAAGCGGTGATAAAATTATCAACGGTTGCTGATCTAAAGTAAATGAATAAGCAATTAATTCCACAAATATCTGGCAATTTTTAGAATCAGCATAATATTTTTGATACAATTCCTATAACAAATCTATGTATGTGATCTAATAATATAGGACTGAGGTGTGGTGGTGTAAAATTTCAGTTGTTTTGACTCTTTTGTGCATTCTGTGTCATATGAACAAACTGATTCCTCAACATGGAAGTGTTTTATGCAAAATTCAAGGGTAAGACTGGAGACACTTTGCTGTGTAGACAAAATTATATGAAAGAGATGAGGTGAATTATGATGTTTTACCCTTCTCTTAAACATGCTTGGGGTGCTAATGGCAGTGTGACTGGCAGTGTGAACTGATGCATTTCTAAAAATAATATGAGATATCAAGGATATGACAGATATGAGTACAACACCATGAATTTCATTATCCGTTCCATTTGTTTCCCTTAGGGCTTTTAATGCCTTTTCTTATATGCTCTAAATATTTTGTTCCTAAACTGGTTTTCTCAGAAGACTACAATATTCCACCTTTATAACATCAGTAGTACCAAGCAATAGGACAGACATAATGGTGAAAATTATAATGAGGTCCCCAGAAAAAAAATAGAAAAGGAATTCTGCCTTAAAAATCAGAATCAGAATTTTCAGGTACATGTATTATCCAATGAGCATTATAATGAGAAACAGTAAAATAATTTTAAATCAATAATTTAAAGTACATCTAAAAATAGGTTATGTATTGGTTGCAACAACAAAGTTTCTTTAATTTTTATTTTATTTTAAATATATATATTCTGCCCTATGGTGAAATGTTTTCCCAGATAGCTTGCAAATCATTTTAAAATCACACATTAAAAAGAAAAGCCAAACATACCGACCAAACAGAAATGATTTCTAAGTAGCAACAGATACATATAATAAAGCATGCATAACATTAAAAATTTGGATATAAAAATTTGAAAATAAACAGAGAAACCTATTCCAGAATTTATGATTTCACATTGTTTTTAATCTATTCAAGATTAAGACTACCCAATCAGTGAGTCAACATAAGATTGATACATCAAGCTGAGGCTAATCAAAATGGGGGAAGAACGAATAAATGAAATTTTGCAACTAAGGAAAAAGGAAAAGCTGCCTCAGCTTATTAACTGTAAGTAACTGTAGACTATCTGTCAATATTATTATTTCCAACAAAAGCAATGGAAAGTTGTGATATTTTGCTGAAGCTGTTATGACTTTACAGCAAAGGTTTACTAATACCTTTCAAGTAAGGAAGACTTGTAATTAGCTATAGTTGTTGTGACCCACCGGCAGCTGATGGAGCTGGCAGCAGAGTTGGACAGTAGCAAGGAGGTTGGGGAGGAATCTGGGCCAGTCTTAGAGGCTGAGGAGGGCTTGGGCAAGGGCTCTGCATTGGAGGCAGGGATGGGGCCAGAGCAGGCTGGCAGTCATCAGCTGCCTTCAGACTCAGACAGCAGTGAGACAGGGGAGATTCTGGAACTGGTTCCCAGCCTGCGCATGCACAGGGCTACCAGAAGACAAGAACAATTGAGAAAGTAGGGTCAACTCAGGAGTAAGACCACACTTTGGAGGTGATTGCCCCCTACCATAGGACATAAAAGAAGAACAAATGGGATGTGAGCTTTTGCAGGAAGCAGTTAGTCTGATTGATTCAAGCTTTGAAAAGTTCTGTTTGACTCTGTGTCAAGTTTGGCCTTGCCCTGCATTTGGCAATTAGTTCTCTGGCAGCATTCTAAGTGCGATAAGGTGGGTGTGTATAAACATTCCTCTGTAAGACTGTTTGTGAAGTCTTGCAGGCTGTAAATGAATGTAATTCACAGCCATGGAAATAAAAGAGGTTTTGCTGGGACTAAAATTGTGTTTTATACTTTCTAAGGAAGCCTAGGTCAGAACAATATTGGCGCTTCTTTATATACTGAACCTAAAATCTTTGTAGTCAGACACACTTTATACCATACTTTGTATCCAGTCATGTTAGACCAAAATATTATTATTTTAAAAGGATTTCAAGAAAGCAGGAGACAAATAGACGAAAACTTTAAATAACTTACAATAAGGACAGCCATAGATCTCGATCCTCAGACCAATTTGGCCCTCCCCACTCCATTCCAGAGGAAGTATCCGAATGTAGCGGGCAATAACTGGATGCTGTAAATCATGTCGTACCACAGTGTCAGAATTTACATTTCCAGGAAATGCCTAGGGAGGGACAACAAAACAACAATATTATTTTAATATTTGGCCTATTTAGAGCCTATATACACACATCACATGACTAAGTGAGTACATATACACAGACACAATCACATATATTCAATGTGGATTGCTTCTGTGTGCTGCTGTAATTTCAGTGATACTGTTAGCTCAGAGAAGTTAATTATTTATTTAACAAACTTATATTGTGCCTTACAGAATCAATAAGAGCACCAACATAAAAAAATCTTTCCCAACAATGCTATTAACTGAACCACCCATGCTATTAACTCTGTTACACAATCCTATTCTATTCAATGCTTGGGAAAACACAGTCCCTAGAAAGCTAAAAGGCTACCACCTTCAGAATTTCAGTGAATTTGCAAATTGCTGAGATTGCTACAAAGGCCTACAGGGTCCTGCAACATTTGAAAGAAAGGACCTGAGTATGCCCATCCTACTTAACCTACAAGGATAGATTATGCAATCTTTACAATTTGACCCAGTGCCATGTAGGACTTTAAAGGTTTCAACCAATATCTTGAATTGCACCTGAAAAGCACTTGGGAGCCAGTAGAAACCAAAGAATACCCAGAACTGTACACGCCAGCATACTGGAACAGTAGCAGCTTACAGATTGTTTTTGATGGCAGCCTCAGAATTAATTGGGAAACTATTTCAGCTCTGTGTTTCTTCTGTAACATGTACATTTATAGGGTTGGATACATGTATTATTTTGTGTCTTTGAAATGAACACCAACGGTTCTCCCTCATGAAATCGTTACTAGTGGAAGTCTTGTGCTTTTTTAAAAATCATATTCACCATAGAGGAGGGTTTTTTTTAATTTCCAAAAGAAACTGAAAAATATATGTACAAGTGAAATATTCACAACATGTCTGTTTCAAGGTCAGACCATTTCTACATTTTTAACAGCCTATGTTGAGACCAGAATGACCCATTCCTGTAAATCAGCTTTTTTTTTTTTTGAAAACAATTTTGTTTGTTTTGTTTGTTTTTAAATCAGCTTTTGAAGATAGCATTTTCTACTTCTTCACCACATATTTTTATTTAGCTGGCATTGATGTTGATGTAATCTTGGTGTTTTTTTAAAACATAAACAAACTCACACAACAACACAAACACACAACACACACATGGAGTGGCTTGTGCATTCTTCTTTCATCTTCAACAAAAAATTCCTTAACTCTTCATATGAAAATGGCATCATTTGATTGTCTGAGATTGCTGATGTTTCTCATAATAATTTTAAATTTCTATTATTTCTAGTCCTGTATTTCTCATGATATATCAATATATTAAATTAAATAAATAAGTGTATATCCTTGATGCTCTCCTGTTTCTATTTTGAACCACTCGATTGCTTCCCATTACATTCTATATGTTGCTCCCTATTCATAATAAACATACTAGCCTAAGTGTGTTGACTGTGAAATAAACAAGCCGTTTGAAAATAGCTTATTTTTAAGTCAGATATTATTTGGGACTGAGCTTGAAGCTTACATTGCCTAAAATGCAGATTTAAATGCAGGAGAAAAAAAAACAAGAAAAGGGAACCATCTATTTTTCAGATTTATTTTATTATATTTTTATCCTGCCTTTATTACTCAAATCAGTGAACATACATAATCCTTCATCCTCCTATTTTTAAAATACATATCATTTAAAGTTCAGAAAGAAATCCTTTGAACTCAAGCTATTTGGAGAAATGATTTAGAGGAATGCACATTCATTGTATAAAGCAAATATCTATCACTGCTTTATTTCTGAATTATTTCTTTAATAATTCAAAGGAACTGAGAACTATGTATTGGCATAATGTTATCTTCTTTACTGACAGTAGTGCTATGGTATATTCAGAAAATTAGGTTTTAAAAACTGAATTCTATGCAACTTTTCACATTTGTTCCTTACCAAAAATGTAACAATAATAGCTCAAATCAATATTATTGACTTTAAAAATATAAAAATGTCATATAAACATAAAATGGGGATATTTTCTAAAAGATATACATATCCAAGAAAAAATTTTTTTCTCTCCTTGAAAGTTTGCAATAGGATCTATTGTCTACTAGTATACCAGAACCCTTTAAATATATATTGTTTGTAAATAGTCTCTCAAAACTGTCAACTGTGGGCACAAAGCTGTATTGGTCATGGAGAAGAAGATGTTAGGTCATTTCAGTGAATAATTTAAGGAAGAAGAATTTTTCCAATAATTTTTCAAGATTGTCCCATTATTTACAATAGGTCTCTACTGCTTAATAATACTTGCCACCTTTTTAAATGACAGTAACAGCTCCAATAGGTCATCAAATTTGTTTTATACTCATTTGGTTTCTTCCAAATTGTTAAGCCTATATATTTTTATTCTAGTTATAAAGAAAATTAAGAATCTGAGTCTTTTTAATGAGATAGAGGAATATATTAACAATAGCATGCATTGATGAAACAATTACTACAGATATTCTAGCATTGCTGAGTTCTGTTTGTCCATTGCCCAGTCGTATCAGCTGGTACAATAGCATAGTTTACTTCATGAAATGCAGATGAAGATCATATAGAAAATGGAGAGCTTGCAAGGGGAAAAATCATTAGAAACTAGAAATCAGCACCAGAAGATTGATTCAAACTAGTATTTTAAACCACTCTAAACTAAGACTGGTTTCCATGATCAAAAGACAAAAGAATATGCATGCTTTCTTGGAAATTCCAGCTGTTTATACTCCCTAATATTGTTTATTAGGGAATCATCGACCTAAGACTGCAGATGGTGAAAGGTGATGTTCAGGGGAAAAAAGTAAACTATAATATTTGATTCCATTCCTTAGCTAGCTTGCTCTCTCTGGATTTCAGTTAAAATTTCTGTCCTATTGTCTATAGTGAAATTCAATTCCCAATCCTCTTAGCTTTTGTAATATAAATTTGGAGGATTTTACATTGTCTTGTGCCTCAGGTAGCAAAAAAAAAAATATTGGAAGAAAATATGCAGATACTCACAAAAGAACATTTATCAATAGTTTCTTTAAAAAAGGCACAATCCAGCATTCCTGCAACAGGAAGAAAAGTATTCCAGACTTCTCTATGGGAAAAGGGCAAATATTGGTGATAGCAGATTCAGGAAAACAGAAACTAAAGTGTGCAGACCAGGCAGTAAATCTAGGGAGGTATATTGTCTCCCTGGAGCAAAACTGAGTACCTTACTAAAATAATCAACCCCATGGATTACTTCCCCTTTCTTCTCCTGTACTTTGGGCCCAATGACACAACAATAAATCTGAAAGCAATAACAAGAGATTACAAACAGCTGGGGAAGAATGTTAAAGAATTAGGGGCACAAGTGGTATCTTCATCTATACTTCCCAAAAATCCAACATTTAGTGAGGGAAAAAAGGATTTTAAAAATGAACCACTGACTTAAAAACTAGTATTGTCAACTGAAGATCAGCTTCTTAGACTAGGTTCTGCATTACTCAGATGAAGGGCTACTGGCAAAGGATGAACTGCACCTCACAAGAACTGGAAACAATATATTTGGAAAACTACTGGCTCATCTTATCAAAGAGTCTTTAATCTAAAATTTAAAGGGGGGGCATTCTTCCCAATCTATAGAAACTAATTCCAAGCAAAAACCACTAGATAACCAATCACATAAGAAAGAAGAGAGCAAAGTGAAAAAAAGAAAAAAAGAAAAACATAATGAAGTAGAGAGTGATGGAAAGGATAGAAATCCCAGTTACAAAGTTGCAGATATAAGATACATACCCAAGACCACAAGTGGGATTCAGCCAGTTCTCACTGGTTTGCCCGAACCATTAGTTAATTGCATATGCAGTTGGAAGAACCAGCTAAAAATAAAGTGAAAGAGATATATTTTTCCCTCTCTCTTCCTTCAGTTAATAGCTCTGGGCAGACAGGCAAGAACCATTTAACAGTTGAGGTTGGAATGCAGCCAATACATTCATTTATTTATTTATTTATATTTTTATTTGTCTATTGCTTACAGGATAATAGGTGTAAGTAAAAACATAGTTATGGATACATATAAGAAAAAATAAAAAAATATATAAAAGAAACAATAGGACAGGGACGGTAGGCACGTTGGTGCACTTATACATGTCCCCTACAGACCTCTTAGAAAAGGGGTGAGGTCAATAGTAGACAGTCTAAGGTTAAAGTTTTTTGGATTTGGGGAAAAAAACCAGAGTCAGATAGAGTATTCCAAACATTGACCACTCTGTTGCTGAAGAGGAGTGGAGAACTCTTCTTGTGAAATATTTCTGGACTTTCTCAACTGTGTTAATATCAGATACGTAATGTGGGTTCCAGACTGATGAGCTGTATTCGAGTACTGGTTTAGCAAATGTTTTGTATGCTCTAGTTATTAGTGTAATATTACCAGAGAAAAAGCTACGTAAGATTAGGTTAACAACTCTTAATGCCTTTTTGGCTATATAGTTACAGTGGGCTCTAGCACTTAGGTCATTTGAGATGAGTACTCCAACAAGGTCTTGACTATTCAGCCTGTATTTTATTTTCTGAATTTTTTTTGCCAACATGTAGGACGGAGCATTTATTTGTTGAGATTTAAAGCCATTTGTTTGGCCATTCTGATACATAGTCAAGGTCTTTTTGAAGGGTAGCAGTATTGTCTGTGGGGCTGAATAGCTTTACATCATCAGTGAAGAAAAAGCAGTTGCTCTTGATATGATCACAGAGGTCATTTATGCAGAGTATGAAAAGAGTTGGTCCTAGAACACTGCCTTGGGGGACACCACTGTTGACAGATACAGAATTTGATAGGACGCTCCCAATTTTAACCATTTGTTGTCTGTTTGACAGGAATGCTTCTATCCAGTTATGCAGGTGTCCAGAAATACAGTAAGATTTTAGTTTTAGGAGTAGTTTGTCCTGTACCACTGAATCAAAGGCTTTACAGATGTCTATGTAGATTGCATCTATTGCTTTGCCCTGATCGAGTTTTGTG